ATTGTGTTACACGTCCGATCCTACTAGCATTCCCACCTGCGGCGGCCACGACGTAGTCCTCGAAACGGCGGGTTGTGTTTTAGGAATCGAGACGTTGTTGTTACATCGATGCCACTGCAATATAGGGAGTATAAAGGAGCGTATTAAGCCATGAAAGTAGATTGTCATTAGTATGTGATGAACTAATAACATTAATGCTGTTGGTTGGGGGCCTATGCTCTCTATGTTCTTTGGAAGGTAATAGTGCCCTCGCCTAGCGCCGCTCGGGCCACTTCCCTTCCTCTCCCGCAGCCTCGGCTCCGCCCACCCAGTCGCCCGCAGACAGGAGCCTTACTATATACATATGTGCGCTCCCCAGGAACCACATGTACGGGGAGGCCGCCCCAGTTGCCCGCCACCGCCTGAAAAAATCTGAGCTACCGGCGGACTGTACTCGCACCTAAGCCATTTTGGCTATCCGTTTCCATCGGTGCTACTTGGAGCTGCTCACTGATGCAAATTTGTACCTCCTTTATCTGACACCACAGTCGCGAGGTCGCGCGCGGTCCGAGCGCGGCGCTGTCCCCCGGATCCCCCTTCGTTTTCAAACCACCAAACACGGCGAGCACAAGCATCGGACCCACCGCCACCCCGATGGCAACCCCTCAGCTAAGATCGGCTTACCCGGCAGCTCTAAAACACCAAGAAAAAAGCTAAGCGCACGGCGAAAAAAGTGCTTTTATTCTGGCCAGAGCATCTCCTTTTCCGCACAAGTCCCTAGGATCCGCCACCTGCCACCACCTATCAGTAACTGAGCCTGGTTGCCTACCGAGGACTTATTGAGGGCACACATTGCCGCGCTCATCCCCATGCATGGCGCATTAGCCGTTGCGGTAGGAAGCTAATGGGAGATAAGGGCCATATGGCCGAAATGCCCGAAGGCTCTATGAGCTAACCTGAACCGCCCCGTTCCGCCATTCTCCAGTCGTCTCCGCCCGAGAAAAACCGACCCTTTGTCACGAACGCAACGGGCTCCTACTCCGACGCGGGCGAGCGGGGGATGCACTGACTGATAAGTGGGATTCGAGGTGGTGAGCCTGGGAGGGGGAAGTTTACGAGCCATTCTCGCTAGGAGCGGTATGCTCCGCATTGAGCAAGCGGGCTTGGTCGTTGTTTTTACGAGACGCAGCATTCCCTGCCCTCCTCCGACTAACGGCCACCAGCAAATACAATAATTATTCTAGGAACTCGCAGGGCAAGCTAGATCGCTCACACCGATGTCGATAGTAAATAGCCCTGATTCACCGTTACTTTCGTGGTATCTGCTTCCTAAGGTATTAGTCTATCGCTCATCGACCTGATCAGGCACCAACACCGGACTGTCCTCTTTAGCCGCACCAGCTTCCACTGCCACTTGTATCTACATAAAAGTTATCATGAGTTCAGCTATTTGTTAAGTCGCTTTATCCTTTGGGGTATACTTCCTTGTTTATGTAAATTACACAGTATCCCCTGAAACTTATGCCGGGTCACACTTAGATAAATATTATAAATTATCGGTTTTTAATAGATTAGTATCTGTATGACGGAAATTACTATAAGATAAATGTATAAACTTTACAGTTTAAACTGTATAAGCAAGAGTGATTGAAAAAAAACATAATAATATGTATACTCAGGTATATAGCATAGCTATTATGAGTCTTGATAAATATGTACTGAAGTACGCTATGGTCTGTAGTTAGCAAGAACAAGGGCAATCTGCAAGATTTCCGGAGTAATATTAAGCTTATATAGTTACAATCTATAAGTCATAAGCATTTTTCAGCTCACACATCCGCAGATCACCAGCCTGCGACAAGCGATGTTTTCCAATTTTTTTTTTGATGCTTTTGTGTAATTTTGTTTTTGCTATGGAGCGATTTGGTGGGTTCGAAGAAGCGAATGTCATTCGCTTATCGCTCTGTGTATTTTTTACCATGATATAACTATATGATGTGTGTGCCTGTGCGCGCTTGTGCGTGCGGCGAACAGAGAAAAAACCCAGCGAGTGTGTGAGTGTGTTTATACGTGTGTATATATGCAAACTGAGATTTATTTTTTCTGTAATATCATACTTATTACTTACAAGCATATAGAATTTACTTAAAGTTCAGTTTTGTTGTTTAATTGAAATTCTCGTTAACAGAGGGTGCTGATGGCAGGCCGAAAAGACCGTGGGTGTGGAGAAGGAGTAGTATATTCATTCTATTATGTGTAGAGATTAAATGTACATAATTATGTAGATATTTTAAATGCCAATCTAATCTAACTCTAGCTGCGTCTTTTAAATATTGAGTTCAGAACGCCATATTTTAGTTCATTTAATTATTTAATGATTGGTTTACTGTATACATATATGGATATAGGTTGGGAAATTGATGCCATGCAATTGACTTCATTGGTTACCCCCCCTCCCCATCCACCCATAAAGGAAATAACTTCTGAAATTGCTGAAAAGAACCGTGGTTATTTCGTGCTATTATTTTGTGAAATGTTAGAAAATGACGTTTTTAACCCTAGTTAGTGGGGAGTGTATCTGTGCTGCGTGTTGCAGAGAAGCTCGAGCCGTCCGAGGGGCCGCTGATGCCTACAGGTCCACTGCGTGTCACTGTTCTCACCCATGACTCGATCGAAGTCGATTGGCAACCGCCTGTCCTCAAAAAGGGAGCCGAGCCGTCACACTATGTCATTGAATACCGCAATCTTACTTTGAATGAAGAGCCGAAATTCTTGAAGTAAGATGGCGCTACGAGTTACTCAGTGATACAGTGTCGTCACTGTGTGACTCGTCTTTGCATGTGTATATATCAAGACCTCTGTTCTAATTAGACACCACCACTCTCTTGCAGCCTTGAGATTTGACTGGATTGGTTTGGTGTTTGATTTAAAACTAATATTTGTGGTTCAAAAAATTCACGTGTGACTACCACAATTAATGTTGTGTGGATTATTGAATGGTGTGTCATTTAATTAGCTAATTGGGTGATTTAACGACATTCACTACGTATTTTTTAGTTTGTTCACCAATCCAACTGTAATGTTTAAACTGGTGTTACACTATCGTTGTGGAAATCATTGCATCTATTTATTTAAGATGGGTTGACTGTAGAAGTCTTACTGTGTTGTTTGTGTTGTTGTTTTATGTAATGTGTGAGTCTGTGACATATCTAACATAAATATCTAATAAAGTATGAAATTTAGAGTATTATCATGCGTTACATTATGACTAAGTAGTTTTATATACTCATCAAGTAATGCTGCTAACATAGGTCATTGCATAATGAATCTATTAATACAGTTGTTCTGTAATTTAATATTCCCTTATTTAAATATATTTTTCAAAATAAGCTTACTAAAGTAATGGCGCATCCAAATAATTTGGGTAATTTTAGAATTTTGTTTGCATGTATCTAACCAGAAGCACGGCTTGAACAAAGCATTCTTGTAACACAAACTAATGTAATTACTAATAAGCAAGAGTTTAGTGGTCGTTATATGAATAGATGTCTTGCGGATAAGCAGGTTAGTAAAGAGATTATGAAATCCTTCATCCGAACATGAGATTGAAGGCTTCCATCATCTTATCAGGAGTGAATGATAATAGATTATCATGGCTATCATATATAGATTATCATAGATAATATATTATTATTCACTCCTGATCCTATGATATAAAATACTATGAAAACATTCATCCAAGCATGAGATTGAAAGCTTTCATTTATTATTTTCGTGCTTACACAGCGTGCGTGCGTGTGCGTGCTTACACAGCGTGCGTGCGTGTGCGTGCTTACACAGGGCGTGTGCACCGTGCTGCTATAGCTTGTCTTAGTGTATTCTGTAGTGTCTGTGCATTTTTTCATGGGTATTTAAATTACTATATCTCATGTATACTCAGTATTGACAGACGAACACGTGGAACGCATTTGTAGTAAAATTCGAATACGTGAACGCATGTATAATTTTGTTAGAATACGTACGTATTCACGTCCGGTTATGTGGTGGGTTTCCAATCAATGTTCTCGCTCCGTCCACCAAATAGTTTGGTTTAGAAGATTGCACGTTTACTTGTACTGTCGCTATGTCAGACAGCTAGGATATATATATACATATAACATGCTTTATGGCACTTTTAATTTCCCAATGTCTGTTGCGAAAACTACGTGTGAAAATAGTGCGCCACGGAGATTCCGTCAACGCTTTAGGGGTGAAGGAAGAATGTGCATGCACTAATTTCACTTTACGGGGCTATGCCAGAAAAATAATTACACTTTGCAATGCTTAGGTAAGTTGTTTGATGTGGTCATGAGTCGTTATCGCATGCTAATGCGTGCATGTCAAAGACATTTGTGTATATAAAATATTGCTTGATGGTTTATTATCGTAATTTTAGTTATGAACATAGTTATGATTATCATTTCCAAACCAACTTACTATAATTTAATTATTGTGCAAACGCCTGGTGAAGAAATGCATGTTGAATGGCATTTTACTGATATAATAAACGCATGGCATGATTTAGTGAAAGCGAAGTTATTTTGTCCTATGGTTATGTTGTTCTGTGTCGTTTCAGATAATAATAATCTCAAGTTCTTTACAGTGTTAGTTTCCAAAATTGCTCATTTACATCGAATGCAATCGAATTAATCTAAATTTGAACCACCCAGTTTTAACTCATGGTTTATACATGATCAGCCGCATATAGTTTTTAACGTAATTGTTCTCTGTGCTATATTGATAATTCTGCAATATTATCTATAATATGGACCAATACAAATGGAATTAAAATGATATTTTTTATCATCAAATATTTCACTGAGTCTCATTAAGAAGAGAGATTATTAAGAAAATTTTAGCACAATTAATTGGTCCATAGGCTACATTATGCAAAGTTCTATGAACACCTCGCATGCGTACAACACAGCAGCAGGAATACAAAAGCGAATTCACACGACCTTGTTATTAACGTGATTTATTAGGAAAAACAGCTGCTGCAGAAGCCAGAGTTTGTCGAAAAGATGGAGAACACTACTGTAACGGAAGGCAATCGCGCCATATTCACAGTAAAGTTGGGCGGAATTCCAGAACCCTCAGTAGAGTTCTTCCGTGACGGAGAACTTATTGAAGAGGGAGGGCGCCACCAGTTCTTGTACAGTGAAGATGGCACATGCGCGCTGGTTTTGAACCGCGTTACATCGGCTGACGAAGACCAATATGAATGTACAATCTCAAACTCCTTAGGGGAAGCGACTTGCGTCGCTGAGCTCATCGTCGGTATGTATGTTAATTAAAGAAATCGTTATGACTTGTATTAATATTGTAGATGATTGTCTCCCAAGTTCACAATCACAGCCGCACTTAGCTCTAGAAGGTGCGGAGGGCTAGCCTATGCTATAGTTCTAGAGCTAAGCCGCACTCAACTAGTCCGAAATTCCTCTGACGGTCTGACCAATGCCCACACCGACGATTATGGTGGTTTTGGTGTGGGTTAGGTCACATTAATTGCTAGGTATTGCATTAAGCAGAATTCTTTGCTCTCTAAAACAAGACCAACCGCTTGTTAATGTCATGTATTGCGTCCACGAGATGGCGTGACTAGTCTAGAATAAAACAAGTTGAGTGACCGCCAAAATGCCGTGCATGTTTTGTTTGTGAACCTACACAGAAACACTTGAATAGATACACAGAAACACTTGGACAGAGGCCAAGACGTAACACAGAGGCCAAGACATAACAGTTAATACGATCAGGAGATATATGTAAATTTGTTATAATAACCTAGAAATGGGCAAAGAGGGGTCCGCAGGCATCCGGGGGACCGGATCTGATAAATTTTTGCATTCTAGACATCAAAATTACTGCTCAGATGCTCTCAGAATGCACCAATTAAAAAAAAAATCTTCCTCCCCCAAACCCCCCCTAAGTGGCCTCCGGCAGCTTAAAACACCAGAAAAAGTAAGCAGGAAAAAGTGCTCTTTACTTCTTTCTCGACACCTCCTTTTCAACAATCCTGGATCCGCCCCTGCACCATATAGTAACTGAGCTGCGTTGTAGAGACTTAATTTAGAAAACATTGCCGGCTCCATCATGACGGGCATTAGCCGTGCTAGGAAAGATAATGGGAGATAAGGGCATAGGCGATGCCCCCGAAAGTCACCTATGATAACCGAAACGCCGTTCATTCATAAAGTTATCGCGGAAAAACCGAACACTCACGAAGCAACCTTAGCGGCGAGAAGGATGCTGACTGATATGGATTCGAGGTGCCGTGAGGCCTGTGGGAGGGGAAGTTTACGAGCCAATATCTCAGCCTAGGAGTATCGTATTGACAAGAGGTTGGTCTTGTTTTAGAGAGCAAAGAATTCTGCATAGAAAAGAATGCAATACCATAAAATTATTCTAGACTCGCAGGCAAAGTCAGCCCTCGACACTAACGGTTGTCCGATTGCCCGGGACAAGTGAAAGTCTATGTCGGACAAGTTATTATCTTGCCTAGTTGCCCGATCGGACAACTGAAAAGTTCTAGTTGTTTAATATTCTTAACATCCTCTGAGCCAGGTCGCTATCGCACCACATTCTCACTTCAAACGTTTTCAAAGGTCCCTGAAAAAAGCAGCCCGAGACACCCACTGTTACCAGGGTTCGACACTAACGCTAGTCCGTTAGTCCGAGACTAGTAAAAAATCAGAAGGACTAGTAGATTCCCATAGC